AACTTCTCGTTCTGTGTGGACGCAACAGAAACGTCACCACACGACAGCTTTCTGAGGGAAAGTAGGACCTGTCTTAAAGATGCTCTTTACCTTGTCCTCAAGCCTTCTAATGTGAACCTTTAGACATTCGACTTCATTGCTCTGAAGACAGAAAAAACATTCACATGATAAGAAACGGGTTAGACTGAGGAGGAAGCTTTATTGGGACGCTGCTGAGCGTTTGATGTACCAGTTTGGTGCAGCTGCTCTGGGTGCGACTGGTTCTGTCCTGGGCCTCTTTAAATGCCCGACGTGTCTCCTCCAGTTCTTCTGTCAGGGATCTGGCTCTCACTGCTGACCGCTGGGCGCTGCACACACACAAAAACATCAAAGCTTACTGATGCTGTCAGAAGGGCACATCTCTACTCAAACCTAAAGTGGCAGAAAGGTAAGAACTGAGATTTCAATCTGTGTTTAGCTAACGGTCACTAATGGAAAAGACATCCTGAAGCCACTTTATCTGAGGCTCTTTAGTGCAGTTTTCTACAATAATAATAATTTTAAAAAAACTGTCTGTGCTGTACTTGTTGGAGAGTATAACGGATGCATGACTCACTTTATGAGTTAATTGATGTTAACAATGAAGGAACAATGTAATAAACAACATCCATCCATTATCTCTACACGGCTTAATCCTCACCAGGGTCGTGGGGGTCTGGAGTCTATCCCAGCTGACTCAGGGTGAAGGCAGGTTCACCTGGACAGGTAACCAGTCTATCACAGGGCTACACTTAGAGACAGACAACCAAGCACACTCACATTCACACCTACGGACAATTTACAATCACCAATTAACCTCAACATGTTTCTGGACTGTGGGAGGAAGCTGGAGAACCCGGAGAGAACCCACGCTGCACGGGGAGAACATGGAGACTCCACGCAGAAAGATCCCGGGTGTCCTCACCGGGACGCCAACCGGCGACGGTGCTAACCACCGATCCACCGTGCAGCCCACTACAGTATTTGCAATGAGCAATTTTTGTTTTAGTTTGAAAGGAAAAAAAGTCTAGAAAAATAATTTTACAGGTTTTTTTTTTTTTTGTCTATTTTGAATTTCTTCAATTTCAAAGGTGGAATATGTGACTGATAAAACTCCAGAAATCTAATAAACATGTTTCTGTATTTATAGGACATGTGAGACATTTATTGTCAACCAAAGTCCTTAAATTCAGGTGATGGCCACACAGAGACACTGATCTCATTAATGAAACTGTGGAATAAGTTTTCTGTTAGAGAGAAAACGCTGATTTCTAAAGATGTTACCATTATTCTGTTGCTGATGAAGTTTCCAGTTCTTACCTCTGAGCTCTGGGGCCAAAAAAGTTAGAAACGGGCTGTTTAGTGCCACAGTTGTGATTTATCAGCTTTAAAATGGTCTGTTTGGTTGATTCCAGGCCTCCTCGTGTCAGATTATTTCATTACATGACTGTACATTTATATTTCAGTCTGCTGAGGCCTTCATTAATTTAAGCCCTCTGGTCATGTTCTTGTTAGTTGTGGCTACGAGCAGCTTAAAGATGAGGTGACATAATAAAGATGCATCACTTATGAATTATTCAGACTATATCCAGTACGTAGCCTCGGCTGCTCCTCCAGCTCCTCCCTTGTGTTTCTAGTGTATTCCTCTTCCCTCGTGTCTCCTGTCTGTCTCTCTTTCTGTTTGAGTGGAGACAGGTGTGTTCGGGTCAGAGCAGAACCCCAGCAGCTGCATGAGGCTTCATAAACAAAACCTCAGCGCTGCCACTTTCACTTTTGCCAGATTGTAGATTCTGTCACATTTTTACCCTCTTCAACTCTCAGAGCTTTTTGGTTCAGAGCTGTTTCTCTGTGCATCTCCAGACCTCCTGCATCGTCCGTCTCCCTCATTCGCTAAGCTCAGCTCCTTCCTGCTACCCTGAGCCGTACATCTCCGGCTATCTGTCCAGCTACAGCCTCACTTTCCTCAGCTGCCAACCCTGCTCCTCTCGGGGCCTTTTCCACATGCCTGGTTGATTCCCTGGTTGCTGTTACCCTCCCATCAATAAACTTTAACCACACTGATCTCTTCCTGTCCCTGAACGTGGGTTTAGCAGCTTTAACATATGCAGAATGTTTGGCGTTTATTCCGCTCCATTTTAATTTAACTTTATGATAATGATCTGAGATAATGAGATGATAATGAGCTGACAGGTTTTGTGTAACTGTGCATCTCTTTATGACTTTTTGTGTGTTTTTAGAGTTATTTTTGTCGCCGTTTTGCATCTTTTCGTCACAGCTTAGTGATTTTTTCTCGTCATGTTGCATCTTGTGTCGTCATTTGTGCAATTTTGCATGTCTTTATCATTTTTTATGGCCTTTTCTGATCATTTTTTGCATCGTTCTGGAGTCATTTTTAATCTTTTGTGTGCCTTTATAGTAATTTTGTGTCACTTTCTGTCTTCTGGGGATTGTTTTGTGTTTCCTTTTCATCCCTTTGTGTAAATGTGCATCTTTTTTATTATCATTTTGCATCTTCTTGTCATCATTTTGTGCCTTTTTGCTGTAATTTCAGGTCTGATAATGGTCTGAGATAATGGGCTTTTGTAAGGAATTACAGTGCAATCCTGCGTACTGAGACGAGAGGAGAAAGTGGACAATCCTTCACCTGACCAGCTTTGCTCGTAGCTCTGTGATCTCCAGAGTGAGCTGCAGGTTTACGTCCTCACACTGAGCCACTGTCCTCAGCAGGCTGCTGTTCTGCTCGCTCAGCTTGCGGTGTGCATGCTTCAGTTCTGCCACCGTGCCCGTCAGGTCCTTTCCATCGCTGAAGTCAAACAGACAGTTACTGAAGTATGACGACAAACTGACTGTTGGAGACACAAACCAGAGTTCAGGGAGTGAAATAACTCACCAGGAACACTGGAGCCCTTCCGATGAAGTCGCTTTGCTTTGAGAGGACGATAAATCCAACCCTGAGAGGAAATTAAGTTTAGCAAATCGCCTTTTATCTCATTAAGATGTTTCTTAGGAGTCTGAACAAAACCGGGTCAGCATACCATTTACAGGTACTTGTGAAGAGTCTGGCCAAGACACATGACTGCTGTCGACGTCGGTGCTGAAACACAGGAGCCGAGTGAGTTAGTTCCCACAGCTCACTTAAAAGGCAAAGGAATGAAATATTTAATCAACAATGCAAGTTGGAGGCAATTCAACTGGACACATCCCGCTGGGTGTGTAAAATTTAATCAAGCTCTAATATCTAATTAACTCTAAACACACAGGAGTGAGGTTCTGGCAGGCCGTCTTCGCCTCCTCCCTTCATTTCTAGGTTTGATCTACATTGGTACTCCTGCTACTGCTGCATGGGGAGGAAAAAATACTGGTAGCACTAAAAAAACAGCAAAAGCACCACTAGTGCTCTTACGCTACTTTTAAAGGCAGATTTATTTTTATAGAACAATTAATGCTGCCACCTATATATCTAATTTAATATGAAGTCACTGCAAGGCATCTTTAATCGCGGTCCCTCCCTTTACAGTTCAGTGTCACCTGTCTTGGCTGCACTGGGCGATCCACTCCCTCATGGTGGAGTGGAAAGTCTCTCTGCTCACATGTGGGTCCTGACAGTCGGGGTCGAGCAGCTGTCGCAGGGCAGCCAGTCGGTCCTGCTCCGGGCTCTGGGCAGTCATGGTCTTCAGGTACTGGATGATGGTGGAGGCCAGCACCTCTCCTGAAGACCAGAGGGAAGCAGAGGGACTCAGGATTTCACACTGTGGTTTTAGTGTGTCTGCTGAAATCATAAAGTCTGTGTACCTGTGCTGCTGGTGTTGCACGCGCTGTACATGATGTCGATGAGTTCATGTTCAGAGAATCCACTCGTGTCTTTGGAGTCTTCGAGCACGTTCCTGGTCTCACAGCTGGTTGACTCCCACACTTCACGTAAAGAGACGGACAAAGATTAGTGCACATTCAGGGCCTGGAAGAAAACAAGACACCGTAAATATTTGTTTGCCAAAGAACAACCTGCAGCACTTACCCTCATTGCTGTCAGACATTGTGCTTGTTTCTCCTGAAACCTCAAGAGGAAATGTGCTGATGGACCGTCAGGATCCTACATGACCTGACATTTTAATAAACAAATACACTGTTAACTCTGTGTGTTGTGTCTACAGGCCGAAGCTCTTAGTAGAAATACAGGTAAAAACACAAACATAAATTGTAATCAAGTAATATTTCACAGGATATGACTGTTTTAAATGCTTACATGTACACAGGGCGATCTGGTCAGATGGCTAAATATACTGTCATCCTACAATAAGGAACGTTAATGCTGTAGTCTTTCTGTTAAACATGTAGAAGCAAATTAGAAAATTCAATGCTTACTTCTCAGTCCAGGCAGCTCTTCTGCAAAGAAATATATTCTGTAAATTGTAGACTCGGGCCCTTGATTTTCATCATTTTTCTGGTCTTTCTGATTCCCCCGTGATGCCACATGAAGTCTTCAAGATGCTCTTGTGCTTGTTTTCACTGCTTCACATCAAAACCAGCTGACATCCCCCCAGCAGCCCTCTCCCACCCTCCTCCCCCGTCCTCTGCCACCTCCTCACATTTCTGCCAAAACGCTGCCCTGCAGAGGTCCGTGAACAGGCGGCACCACTTTGCATTCACCGCTTTAACACATCAAGTGCACAGGCTGACAAGCTCGGCAAAAGCAGGGAATGCATTTCTTTTTTCAGTAAGTGTGAGGCAAATAAATGACTTTCAGCTCATTAAAATATTACTGCTGCAACTGATCATAATTATCGTCATTTACATGTTTCGTTTGAACACTAGTTGATACAGAATGTAATTAAAATCACTAAAGAACCAAAATCTTGCATTTTTTCATACAAATATTTCGTTTGTTTGAGTTACAACCTCGCTTCCATCAGAGCGTCTTGCGGAACCAAACCTTCAGGATCCCGCGCAGTCCGGCCGGACATCATTTCCGTTGCACCATCCGTTGTGTTTGTGTCCTGTCGGAAGCATGAAGTAGCGACCAACAGACAACGGACCGGAGTTTTTATTTTTTTTGAATAATTCTAACTTCGAGCGGGTTTCTTCCCCTGATTCAAGATGTCTCGGGGCTCCATTGAGATCCCTCTACGGGACACAGATGAGGTAAAACTCGTTTCATATTTATTTTTTTCATAATTAGTTTTTGACTCAGTGAACCTCGCTGTGCTGCTAGCCCGCGATGCTAACTGTAGCTAGCATCGGCTAATGCCCTGTACACATCCCTGCGACGGGATTAATGCGGAGCAACGTCAGTGTAAAATACTGTAAATTAAATGCAAGTCCACTGGAATTATAAAGGCTAGAAGTACTTGGGTCACCGAGTGCAGAAGTGCTAACATTAGCAAACACTGATATCTCCGTAACTATGAGCTCAGACTCTTGTGCAAAGTGTAGGTCAGTCAGTGTGATGTTTTAATGTATTAAACCTTTACAAAGATTTTTTTGTTTTCATCCAAGAACTTATCATATAGAAGCAACCTGTGATCTTCACTATCACTGTATGGCTTTATACGTTGCCAGCATTATTGATTTATTCCAGCTTTAGTTGAGCTCACTTATTTAGTTCAGTAATTATTGCTTTTTACTTTTATACACTGCGTTCATTAGGTTATGCCTTTTGTTTTTCCTGAGCAATACTTTGCACAAGAATTTTATCGGGATTAATCATCTTATTTTTTCTTGTCTTACGATGACATGAAAAACATCGAACATCTGGATCTTAATTGATATCAGCAGTGGGTGATGTGGATGTAAATGTCTTCTTACATCGTACAGTATTCTTCACTTGTGTGATGCTATTGAGTTGTACAAAGAGTGTTTGTAATATTTAGACTGTCCTGATTCAGCTCTATTTTAAATACCAGACTGCAAACGTTCGATCCAAACCCGGTATTCCCATAAAACAGTCCTCAGTTTTCAACATATTCAAAGAATCGGGACGTAAGTGGTACGATTAAATCTGTGATGGTCTGCAAAGTCAGATTGTCGTCATCCTACTTTAATTCATACCTTCGTGCATCATGACTCGAGTGATTTGTGTTGTGCAGGTCATCGAGCTCGACTTCGACCAGCTGCCAGAAGGAGATGAAGTCATCAGCATCCTAAAGCAGGAACACACACAGCTGCACATCTGGATTGCTTTGGCGGTGAGTCGGAATAGTAACTTTAGTCTGTTATTGTCTTTGTAGGTCTGCAGATATCGATTAGTTTCTCTTTTTTAGAGTTATTGAAATGACTTCTTTTGTCAGATCAAAACAGAAAGTAGAAAATTCACACACTTGAAAATCTCAAACCAGCACGTCTTGATAAGTGACGTTAAAGGATCATTTTATTGTTCTAATGCAGAAAGTTACTGTGATGAACACAAGCTATCCGGCTGTCAAACCTGATTCATATAAAACTATGCGAGTTGACCCCATTTGTGACAGTTTGCATCTTGTTTTTTTGTTTTTTTTTTCAGCTGGAGTACTACAAACAGGGCAAAACGGAGGATTTCGTCAAGCTTTTAGAGGCGGCGCGTATCGATGGAAACCTGGACTACAGAGACCATGAGAAGGACCAGATGACCTGTCTGGACACGTTGGCAGCTTACTATGTCCAACAAGCACGGAAAGAGAAAAACAAAGATGCCAAGAAAGAGCTCATCACGCAGGCCACCCTGCTCTACACGATGGCCGACAAGATCATCATGTACGATCAGGTAGGACACGCGTCTCTCAGAGCAGGTCATGAGTTAGCAGGTACAGGTATAGTTCCGTAATTACAACATACTGCCGTCTCATTTAGAACCATTTGCTGGGAAGAGCCTGTTTCTGCCTGCTGGAAGGAGACAAGATGGACCAAGCCGACGCTCAGTTCCACTTTGTCCTCAACCAGTCCACCAACAACATCCCCGCTTTGCTCGGCAAGTTGAATATGAAAGAGCCTCGGATGAATCTTTACTGCCGTGATTGATTGAAATGATAACAGAGTTGTTGTCCAACAGGTAAGGCCTGCATCTCTTTCAACAAAAAGGATTACAGAGGAGCGTTGGCGTACTACAAAAAGGCTCTGCGTACAAACCCGGGCTGCCCAGGTAAACCAGTGACATGCACTGTCTTTATTCTACCACTGTGATTTAAGACTGCTGCTACTAGAACCTGGTCAGACCTGGTTGACGTGTAAATTTCCTAATTATTTAAGGTTATGAAGAGTTGTGGCAAAGATGTGTGTTTAATGTGGCGAATGGTTTTTACAGTCCATGCATGCGTACTGAAAGTTAAACTTGAATGAAATAAAAGAAGTTTTATTATCAATGAATTGTTTTTTGGAACAATTATCACTCCTTTGGTCCATAAAAATTTACCAGCAAATGTAACCGTACCACAGCTTCTCTTGTTTAATTTGCAAATGAAACCAATTTTAAAATGTATTGAAAGGAAGAAAAGCAGCAATCGAAAAACATGCATAAAAATCACAACATCTATGTTTTGTTCTTTGTTTTTTTCTATATTTGCGAACACTGACGCTGGACTTAAACAGCTGTGATACATGAACAAGGCTTGATTTACTGCTCAGGTTCATACTGTGGCAAAAGAAAGTTATGATAGACGATTCCTAACCCATCTTATCTGTCCTGTTTTCCTCTAGCTGAGGTCAGGCTGGGGATGGGCCACTGCTTTGTCAAACTCAACAAACTGGAGAAGGCTCGTTTGGCTTTCGGTCGAGCGCTTGAGCTCAATTCAAAGTGTGTGGGAGCGCTTGTTGGACTGGCGGTTTTGGAGCTCAACAATAAGGAGGCAGACTCCATCAAGAACGGAGTGCAGCTCCTGTCGCGGGCCTACACCATCGACCCCAGCAACCCCATGGTGCTCAACCACCTCGCCAACCACTTCTTCTTCAAAAAGGTAACCGCAAAGCTGTCCTCCTTTGACATGCAGACTCAAAACTCAGCCTGTATCATTTCATCGTTATTCATGCCTGTGTTTTTTCCTTTTATCGTCAGGACTACAGTAAAGTGCAGCATCTCGCCCTGCACGCTTTCCACAACACAGAAGTGGAGGCCATGCAGGCTGAGAGCTGCTACCAGCTGGCTCGCTCATTTCATGTGCAGGTAAGATCCTAATCGACTCGCTGCCAGCTCGCTGATTCTTTTCCGGTTTGTCAGTTCATGTCTCTGATGTTGCTTCTCTTTCTTTTCTTCAGGAGGACTACGACCAAGCGTTTCAGTATTACTACCAGGCCACTCAGTTTGCCTCGTCCACCTTTGTGCTGCCCTTCTTTGGCCTGGGACAGATGTATGTGTACAGAAGAGACAAGGAGAACGCAGCGCAGTGCTTTGAAAAGGTTCTGAAAGCCTACCCCAACAACTATGAGACTATGAAGATCCTGGGTTCCCTCTATGCAACGTCTGACGATCAGGAAAAGAGAGATATTGCCAAAGTAAGTATCCTGTCCATCTGGAACGGGAACTGTGTCTGATTTATCTTAAGAAATGTGTTAAACGATGATCTTCACAACGTAGTTAAATCTGGGTATACGTCACTGTTTTGTTTGCTAGGGCCACTTGAAAAAGGTAACGGAGCAGTACCCAGATGATGTGGAGGCATGGATCGAGCTGGCTCAGATCCTGGAGCAGACCGACATCCAGGGAGCTCTGTCTGCTTATGGCACAGCCACCCGCATCCTGCAGGAGAAGGTGCAGGCCGACGTTCCCCCCGAGATCCTCAACAACCTGGGGGCTCTGCACTTCAGACTGGGCAACCTGGGGGAAGCTAAGGTAGGAAGCAATACAGCTATTTCAGGCTGACGTCCTGCTGAAGCTGCATCACATTTGAACCCATTGACTGTTATGCAACTGATACTGTGGAATATAGACTGAACAGACGGCACAAAGATGTATTTATTTCTTCCCACTGTGGTGTTTACTGATCATAAAGCGAGCAGAACTCTATATTTATCATAAACAACAGCGCTATTTCAAGGTTGGGGTCATGTCTTCTCCCTTACAGAAATATTTTCTAGCATCTCTGGACCGAGCCAAAGCTGAAGGAGAGCATGACGAGCATTACTACAATGCCATTTCTGTCACCACCTCCTACAATCTGGCCCGCCTGTACGAAGCTATGTGTGAATTCCACGAAGCTGAGAAACTCTACAAAAACATCCTCAGGGAGCATCCTAACTATGTGGACTGTAAGCACGCAGCCTCGTACAACAACGTGTGAGACCATGAAGGAGAGGTTTGTGTACTCTTGGAAAGACCTCTTCTCTTTTTTTGGCCCTCAGGTTATTTGCGTCTTGGAGCGATGGCTCGCGACAAAGGAAACTTCTATGAAGCCTCTGACTGGTTCAAAGAAGCTCTGCAGATTAATCAGGTACGACCTGCTGGTGTGTCAATGTTAGAACATTAGTAGGTAGAGGGGCTGCACAGTGGAGCGGTGGTTAGCACTGTGGCCTCGCAGCTAGAAGGTCGCCGGTTCGTGTCCCAGTGAGGACACCCGGGATCTTTCTGCGTGGAGTCTCCATGTTCTCCCCGTGCAGCGTGGGTTCTCTCCAGGTTCTCCAACTTCCTCCCACAGTCCAAAAACATGCTGAGGTTAATTGGTGATTGTAAATTGTCCGTAGGTGTGAATGTGAGTGTGCTTGGTTGTCTGTCTCTAAGTGTAGCCCTGTGATAGACTGGTTACCTGTCCAGGTGAACCTGCCTTCACCCTGAGTCATCTGGGATAGACTCCAGCCCCCCATGACCCTAGTGAGGATTAAGGTGTAGAGATGATGGATGGATGGATGGATAGTAGGTAGTCTGGTGTACAATTCTTGTCAACATGATCTGATGCTTGTTGTGTTTGCTGCAGGACCACCCGGACGCCTGGTCCCTGATAGGAAACCTTCACTTGGCCAAGCAGGAGTGGGGACCGGGTCAAAAGAAGTTTGAGCGCATCCTGAAGCAGCCGTCCACGCAGAACGACACCTACTCCATGCTGGCTCTGGGCAACGTGTGGCTCCAGACTCTGCATCAGCCCACCAGAGACCGGGAGAAGGTGCAGACGGATAGGGTTTTCTTTTAATCAGCTGATGGAGAAAGGATAGAACAGAACTTTGTTGAAAACTGTTGCTGAATAATTGCAGGTAGAGGATCAGCAGAGGTGGAACAAACTAAATCCACCTGGTGAATATGATTAGAAGGTTTTTATTGTAGACTTCAGCACCAGATTGGGACTGATGATTTTATTGTTGCTGCTTATATTCTAACACGCTGTAGTTAACCTGAGATGTGATCACTTCACTCCTGAGTTGAATAAGATGGATCACGGTACATCTCACCTTGTCATCAGTATAATTAATAACTACTTGTTTTCTCTGAAGCTTAATAAGCCAAAAATTCACTCACACGCTGTTCTAGTGTCTGACGTTAGCAGAGGCACGCTCCATTAGCTGTGAGATGAAGTGTCTCCCTGTTGAAAGCTTGTTGAAAACCCAGAGCTAACATTGTTTTTCTTGTATGTGTGTATAAGGAGGAAGTAATAGATTCTCACATGAAGCAACAATGGTTTTGTCTTGACAGGAAAAGAGACACCAGGACCGAGCCCTGGCCATATACAAACAAGTCCTGCGAAACGATGCCAAGAACCTCTACGCCGCCAACGGCATCGGTTCGTTCTCTTCTATTTGTCTTTTTATTCATCCTGCTGCTTGTGTACGTTGCACTAAACATAAATTTGTTTTCTCCAGGTGCCGTCCTTGCCCACAAGGGTTATTACAGAGAGGCGCGTGATGTGTTTGCACAAGTGAGGGAGGCCACAGCCGACATCAGTGATGTCTGGTTGAATCTGGCTCACATCTACGTGGAGCAGAAGCAGTACATCAGCGCTGTGCAGATGGTACGAGCCTCAGTTGTGCTAATCTATAAAATTGATTGTCTTAGTCAATGTTTTGTGTTTGACTACTGTATTTCTGCCAAACAGTATGAGAACTGCCTGAAGAAATTCTACAAATATCAGAACACCGAGGTGCTGCTGTACCTCGCAAGAGCCCTCTTCAAATGTGGGAAACTCCAAGAGTGCAAGCAGATGCTGCTGAAGGTAACACAAAGAGAACGGAAAGGCTTTTGTTTTATCCTGCAATATGAAGGGAGTCTAACGTTGTCTTTGTGATGTGTGGGCATCAAGGCGCGTCACGTGGCTCCCAGCGACACGGTGCTGATGTTCAACGTGGCCCTGGTGCTGCAGAGGCTGGCCACGCTGGTGCTGAAAGATGAGAAGAGCAACTTGAAGGCTGTGCTGAGTGCTGTCAAAGAGCTGGAGCTGGCTCACAGGTAGTGACTTGATTTATGCCTCCGCCTCCCGTTCTGTTCATCCGGCCGTCCTCTGTCTAGTCCTGCAGTTTCATCTCTCACCCTCCTCCTCCTTCTCCTCCTCACCACTCAGGTATTTCAGCTACCTCAGCAAGGCTGGAGACAAGATGAGGTTTGACCTTGCTCTTGCTGCGTCTGAGGCCAGGTCAGTCTGCATTTACTCTTCACACACGCCAAAGGTTTTAGTTCGTCTTTTAGGAACAGTTAAAATCATTTCTGAAAACTTTTGTGCTTAATGAATGAAGCTGATACCTGTTGCTCCACCCACACCCGCCTCTGAGTCTATTTTTAACCAAAAATTTAGACTTTCAATGGTTCATTTATGCTTTCACAGTCAATAGTTGTTGTTTTTTTAAAGTTTCTAAAGTTTGCCATCAGTTAGATAAATCTTTACATGTAATTGCAGTTTTGTTGTTGTTTTTCTGGGTCTTGCTCTGGAGTTGTGTTAATTTTGTGTGTGCTGTGATGTAACTGTGGGAATGCAGGCAGTGCTCTGACCTGCTGAGTCAGGCCCAGTACCATGTGGCCAGAGCCAGGAAGCAGGATGAAGAGGAGAAGGAGCTCCGTGCCAAACAAGAACAGGAGAGGGACCTGCTGCGGCAACAGTTGCAAAAAGAACAGGTACCTGTGGTCCCGCCACGTGATCGGATCTCGTTTCGTTTGATTTTGATTCAACTTTGATCTGCGATACTTCTCGTGCGCTGATTGGCCGTGTCTCCCTCGAACCTCGCTCAGGAGGAAAAGCGGAACAGAGAGGCGGAGGAACAGAAGAAGCTCCTGGAGCAGAGAGCTTTGTACGTGGAGAAGACCAAGAACCTGCTCACCTTCGCAGAGGGATCAAAGGAAATGGCCAAAGAAAAGAAGAAGTCAGGAGGTGGCGGTGGCGGAGGAGGACGTGTGAGTGTTGATGTAAGTCTCAGCAGAAGACTCGTGCTTCACGTGCAGCGTGGATAACGTCCTGTTTCTGTCTCAAAGCGTAAGAAAGGAGGCGACATGGATGAGTTTGTTAATGACGACTCCGACGAGGACCTGCCGGTGAAGAAGAAGAAGAAGAGGAAGGGGGGCAGCGGCAGCGAGCAGGAGGAGGGCGAGGACGGAGAGAAGAAGAAAAAGAAGAGGAGGAGGTGAGTTTGAAAGCCAAGCGTAGTTTAATCTGACTGCAGAGCAAAGCGAGCAGAGCATCTAGATACTAAGCAAACACTTTGTCCCGCGACAGACCGACTAGAGACGAAGACAGCGATGATGAGGATGGAGCATCACGACCCAAGAAGCAGCGCAAACCCAAAGAGGGACGCAAAAAGATCGAAAAGGTTCCTTTTGGTGTTTGTTTGCTCTGTTTTTCTGTCACAGTTTATATCGTTTTCTACAGTTTTACCATGTTTCTCATTTCAGCCCCAGCCTGAGCGAATGCCGCCGTCACTCAAAGGAAAGATCAAGTCTAAGGCGATCATCTCCTCTTCTGAGTCCTCTTCAGACGAGGATGGACTGAAAATAGCTGAGGACAGGTAAGAGCCTTCACCCAGATGTTACAGTTGGAATAAAGGTACCAACAGGAAGTTAACGAGTGCACTTCCTCCCACACAGACATCAAAGAGACAGCGGTTCAGGGTCTGACGACGAGGGCGGCCACAGGAAGCGCATTGCGTCCGACAGCGACTCCGATGGCGGTCGGAACCGCTCGGCCAGCGAGGCGGGCAGCCCCCGGCGCTCCGGAGGCTCCGAGGACGACGAGTCGGGCAGCGACCGTCCGGTGAAGAAGAGGAGGGCGCAGCGGCAGTCCGACTCGGAGCAGTCGGACAACGAGAGCAAGAGGAGTCGGTCGGGATCGGACGACGAGTCGAGGCCCGGCTCGCCCGTCGCGGCATCAGATCGAGGGTCTGACAGGGGATCTGAACCAGGATCGGACAACGAGGGCTCGCCACGCCGCTCCGCTTCAGAGCAGGAGGCCTCCAACAACGAGGACGACGACAGCGATTAAACTGTCAAGTCACTCGCAAAGACTCACGTGATACCAGGAAAACTCTTCACATTTTTATTTTCTATGAAAGCAGGGATTTCTGCCTGTTGTATTATTTCTAATTAGTGTAGAAAAATGTCTGTTTTGTGTGTGAGGGACGGGGGCGCAGCGTTACGGTTACGTCTGTTCACAGATGCTGCGCTTTAGTTAAACGTAGATGAAATGATTTGAAGTGAAGCAATGATGTAAAAAAAACCCAAATTATTTTGTATCTCAGGTGGTCGGAGGAGACGACGACCAACAAACAGGAAGATACTACAATGAATTGTCAAATAAAAAAACAAAGAATTGTGTAAGACTGTTAAATGTGTTCTAGTAATGTTGAGCCAACAGCTACGACTGCATCACCTCTAATAAGCTGGAAGTAAAAAGAAATTATAAGATGTGGGTGTTCTGTTTGTGACCTTTGGCTCATATAAATGCTGAATTTTCACTTATTTTCCCACATTGTTGACAGAAATATAAGACTCATAGCAATAAACAGACCTTTTAACCCAGGGGTCTCGAACTCCGGTCCTCGAGGGCCGCAATCCTGCAAGTTTTAGATGTTTCCTTCTTCCAACACACCTGATTCCAATGATCAGGATCGTTATCAGGCTTCTGCAGAGCTTGATGATGAGCTGATCATTTGAATCAGGTGTGTTGGAAGAAGGAAACATCTAAAACTTGCAGGATTGCGGCCCTCGAGGACCAGAGTTCGAGACCCCTGCTTTAACCTCTATCCTCCCCACTCAGCAGGTAAAAAACAGATTAAATGTTCACCTGAATCTCCACCACGAGACTCAAAGCTAGTACTGGGTCTGTCTCTAAATCCACAGCTGGTGTCGAGTGTTGATTAGCCGAGTTGCGCTGCACATTGTGTACCGACAGGTCGGGAGAAGATAATTTATGTTCCACGAGTTTAAACAAGCACCTCCACCACTTCCCAGCAGCCAGGCTGCATATATGTTTTTTATTGAAGCCTACATAGCCAGATTACATCAGATATTAGGACCATCTGTAATGAGCAGTCTGAAGAAGATCCAGCCCAAAACAACCAAAGATTCCAGAAACAAAAAAAGGGTGACAAAGTTTTTAAACACAGAAAACTTCAAAACTGTGGAGGGGGGAGAAAAAAACCAAAAAAATCTTTTCGACACAAATGAACTGTTAAACTTTATTCAAGGTCTGATCTGTAGTTGTACACTCAGCTTCTCGCACTCGACCGTACAGCGACACTCCAGTAGAAGGTGTAAGTGTACACGTACAGTACATTCTTTGTAATTTCATGAAGATAAAAAGACCATTTAAGAACTTGACAAATATGGCAAAACAGACGTAAAATTTCCACAAGTGGTGAACAACCGTAGCAAAGCAAACTAAGCTTTGGCTGTCTCAATGTAAAAACCGAGACATTCAAGTATAGTCCGAGATACATTAGAGGTATATCCATATGAATTGATAAATTAAAAAAAAAAAAGGAAAAAAAAAAAAAAGGCCACACAGAATCATTCCTAACAGCGCTAAACGTTTTATACATAAAAAAAAAAGCTCTTGATTCAATAAACTAAATGTGGGTAACTGAAATCATTGTGCAGGTAAAATAGGCCGCTACCATCCAATCCGGATGAAGATTTTTCAGCCAAACGGCCCATTTTCCAAGCACAAGGTAACCATTATAATCATGGCAGCCGACAACTGCAACTCAAGATTGTTTCAAAGAATCAAGGAAAGTATATATTTTTTTTACTATTGCAACGACTCATGATGTTCAGCAAAGTGCATCTAAAAACTGATTAACAAGTGTAGATAAAACAAGGAGAGAAGTCTCTTTGCATTACGTTAGAGTCTTTGCTCTTTTGTAAACAGTTTTTAAGTAAATAGTTATGGCAGCACTTGGTGACTCCTACCAGATGTCATAAAGGTGATAAAATGGGTCAAGTTCCGGTGCTGGTGCTTTTTTTTTTCTCTTTTTTTTTCTGCCAAACACTGCCTATTCTTAAAGGAAACATAACCCAAGATGATTGAAATGTATAAAACATCTGCTGTAGGAAATCAAACAGGATAGAAAAATGAGAGGAGAAAAAAAAAGCATAAATATAATAAAGATTGTGGTGATGCTGGCTTGATCGGGCAAAAACGTTTCATCGTGGAATGAGTTGTAACAGCGGTTACAAGAAGAGAAGGAAAGAGTTAGAAGAGAGGGACACATGAATACTAAAAAATTACCAAAAAAAAAAAAAAAAGAAAAACCACTCATTGCATCCTGATAACACATGGCTTTGGCCTGTTCCTCAGTAATCTTCATCCTCTGACTCCTCGTCCTCTGCAGTCTCCAGCCAGGTCAGCCACTGGTTCACCTGCACCACAACAACAACAAGGCGTCTATTATTACTTACACACTACTTAGATTTATTACTCTTTAATGTAAGCAATTAGAAAAACAAGTTACCTGAAATAATGCTTTTCCTTTTCCAGGAAACTCTTGGGTGATATCCTCCTTCCATGAGAGGAAGCCTTCCTCTTCGATTATTTCCATGTCATAAAGGTTTGCGAAGTAGCGCAGCAACATGCCTTAAAAAATAAAAATAAAAACAATTATACATCTGAAAGCATAAAGCAAAACCAACCCTGGACCTTTAGCTGCACTGAGCCACAGCCGTACCTTTGGGGAAACCCTTGGCGTTGCAGTGCACCTGCAGGGCGTACAGCGCGCTGACTTGCAGGTCGATGTGGTCGTGTAGGAACTTCTGCATTACTGGCTTGAAAGACAGCAGCAGCTGCTTCTCCTCGTCCAGTTGCTCCTTGCTGGGCGATGCCAGCTGCTCTTCGTCGTCCTCGGGGTTGATCTCATAAGCAATGTACTGCAAGAAGCTGCAAGATAAGAAGAACCTCAGTACGCTGTACAACTCTGACAGTGTGATTAGATCAGATTAACCAATAAAGCACCGCCTGGTAGATTAATTGAATCATTAGAAGCGCTGCTGTACCTGGTAACGAGGATGTTGACGAAGCCTCGGTCAGTGTGGAGTTTAGGAGAGATGTTGTCCTTGATCCACTTGTAAATGGACTGTGGAGAGGGATCTACTTTGATCTGCTTCAGCAGCTCCTTCTCCAGTTTCATCAGCGGGAACAAAAAGCTGAGACCTTTGCCCTCCAGAATCTCCAACATCCGGTCCTTGTTCTGGTCAATTTCTATCGGAACAGAAATGATTATTAATACAAAGCCCAATCTGCTTCTTAATACAGAATAAATGAGGTGAAACGTGATGGTCAGAGTGGGCCTGGACATACCTGGTAGCATCTTCTGCATGTTCACCTTGCTCTGCTGGAACAGGTCGCTCAGCCACTCGCGGTCTTTCAGTTTGACCATCTGCTGCAGGCAGAGCAGGAACAGTGGGAAATGTGCACCGTTCTCCAGGTGGTGGGCCAAATCGTCGATGCTGACGAGGTCGGCGATGATCGCTCGTGCTGCAAACTGCGCCAGGTAGGACTTCACCAGAGGGATTTCTTCCTCGATCTTGGGACACTGGTCCAGAACACTCAGGAAGGCCTGTAGACAGGAGGGCAGGATGCACACAGTAAGCACCGAGAAGCAGCTTAATCTTCAGATGGGGACCAAACCAAGGACACTGAGCAACACAACACTTGCCTGCATCAGGTTTTCACCAGTGACGAGGCCCTCTGTGCAGAGCGAATGGATCAGGGTGCTTGCATGTTCCTTATCCTCGTCTGAACGATCCAGGGAATAGACCACCATCTTGTTCAGCATCTCAGACAGGAAGTGCTTGGGAGCCTTCATCTCCTTGGCAGCACTCAGGGCCTCGTCGATGTTCTTGCTGTTCAGGTAGTCTGCCACCAAAGTCTCCTGGAAAAGCAAAACAAAAAGACAGAGTCAGATTTGGTATGAAAACATGACGTCATGCAAGAAGTCAGTCAAGTGGAAGCACGCTGAGGAACTTACTGTCATTTTGCGTAACTCTTCCTTTGTGGGAGGAGCCTTTTTGTTGGACTTTGCTGGTTTTTCCTGAATGGGAGGAGGATTGGCTTTGAGCCCAAGCTGTGGAGACACGGAGCAAAATGAGCATGTGTCTTCTGCTAACTTTGGATATTTATTTGCAAATCTAAGGAAGTTACCTGTCCTAGTGGGGGACCCATCTGAGGAATCATAGTCATCTGTGGCTGCAGCTTTGGCACTTGGTTTTTACTTAAGATGAAGGACTGTGCTGGCCTCAGACTGATCTGGAATGCCAAAACCACCAAGTTTATTAAAACCACTGGACATTTCTCAGTTGATACAAATATAACATAACACTGCTGAAACATATTTTAAAATGATCTTTGCTGGCCAATGCAAGTGGCCATACCTCATCCACATTGAGTTTCCCTTTCTTGCTGAACCGTGGAGCCATGTCCTTAGACTGCATCTGCACCGAGTGATTCTGTTTGTGGTTGAAGACCGGTGAATGCTGGCCCTTTGAAAGACATCACAGAATTAGTTCTCAATGAAAAGTGCACAGATTCAACCTGCCAATAACAATGAGCGGTTACAACATGGCTCGTACCTGGTTTGGTTTCGTGTACGTTTTGTTTCCAGCTTCAAACTGAGGCTGGTGTGAACTGTTGCCGTTTCCCATATGGCCGTTGAAGATCGGGTTTGCACGATGACGGCCCATGGTAGGAGAATAGTGGTCCTGAATGACTCCTGGACCTGTACCAATGCCACTTCCTGCACAAAACAAGACACCGAAACATTAAAACCATCGCTACAAAAGGATAAATCCTGATTAATACATCTAGTAGGTGGTCTAACTCCTCTTACAGGAGAAACTGAGCAGAAAACAGCAGCACATACCAGGCATTTGTCCAAACATATCAGCCAGCCCACCGAGAGTCTCCCTGTCATATTTCACTCTTGATGGAAGGAAGGAGGAGTTGTCCATGAAGAAGTCATTCCTCATCGCATCAGATGGAGGTGGAATGAACACACCCAAATCCTGCAAAGCACAGTCAGACTCCAGTCAGAATCAAGGATACAACCTGACTACAAACTACACTATTTATTGTGTATTAACACTTATTGAGTAGCTCGTTAAGTCTCTAATATTGTTCTTATGAATTCACAATAACTAACAAAAGCAGGCAAACTAACCTTTACTGCATCCTGACGAACTTGGTTGATCGTCTTTGGTCCGTTGTCAACGTAAGCTTTACGAGGCACCCAGTGGTTGTCTCGAAACTCCACCGTGTTCTGCAGCAGGAAGCGGATCCTCGCTGGCAGCTCCTTGTTGTTCGTTAAGGATCGCATGCGGCCAAAGTACTGATCCATCAAAGACTGGAAGCAGAGTTTCTTTGTTATTCAACAGAACAAAACGGTTTCAAGGCACGACAATTGTTCCTATTC